AAATGCACACACCTAATCTTAGATTAGCTTATTTGACTTATGAGTGGGTTTATAATTTGAAAGCTTTTTATACAAACTTGTTTTTCTAGCAAGGTTTTGTTTTATTATTTGTAAAAGTTGCAGATGCGGTTTGGATTATGTGTCTATTTAACTGCCTGTATGTTAAGCATTCTGCTTGGAGATCATTTCATTTCTGCCGGCTGGGTTAGCCTTCGCATCACGCCAATCCAGCAATGTATACTGTGCTGTCTTAATACAAGCATTTTAGCATTTTTTGAGCCTTCATTTCTAGTGTCACCTTTTAAGGCGCTACTCCAAAGCTTTGTTCATGTGACCACCTGAGGTTTGGCGGTGACTTTGGTAGTCATCTTGTCTTTGTACACACGGGGTGGCCTTCGAGTCCGGGCCAAGACCCAATCTCTTCTTACCCTTCAGTCTGACTTAATGCCTTCTACCCTGGGACGCTAAAACATCTGTTACATTAACTGTTGCTCGATGCACAGACATTCTATCGAGATCCTCCTCCTATCAGCATTTAAACGTCAGGTCATGGACAGAATCGAGAATCAGCAATGGTTCCTGTAATTCTGCGCTTACCTGCCCATCTGTGTTGGTAACGTTCACCACGACCGCCATCTTGCTTTTGTCATAGCCTCGCTGCTACCCTTTCTGCCTAAATTTAAGTAGCCTGTCACGCCTAATGGCTTCTACCATCGAATGGGAAGTGTTGAGGCATTACACTTGTGTCAGCAGAACGTAAAACTGACTTTGTGTCCTGATTTCTACCGTATATGGCAAACATCTGCTGAATGAATGAAGTGCATATCCATGGAGCTGAACAACCTTAAACTCCTCCCTAGTAGCGAGCTATTTACATCAATAGCGTCGGCAGTGGCATTGCGCTAGATCGTCATCCATTGGAGGCCTTTGTGGAGTTCATTTCACTACTATGCATCTATTTTAGAACATTGTTACAACATCCTGTAATTCACGTGGTTAGTTATCACTAAAACTTCTCACCCATAATGTACGCTTTTAGGCCAAACGTAACTTTAAATTTAGTCGAAGCATTTGATAAGGTGAATTAGATTTCCTCAGTCTGATGGGAGCTGATTGTGATGTTTTGTTTATGTGGCTCAGATGTAATCCCTTTGTTCTCTCTTGGCAAAACATGTATTTTAGCTCCACTTTGTGCTTTCTCGAGATGCTACACTGACGAATGTTGAGGAGAATGAGCTATTTTTTTTCGGAAACCAAGTACAATGAAACACCTGTTACGGGGCGCACCAAAGGGTTTTCAGCTACTTAGCTCAAAGCGTGAGAGGCCATGTAATATTCTATTTTGTAAATAGCTGTAAAACAGTGAACACATGGGTTACTGTGATGCTTTGTTTAGGTGACTACCTGAGGTTCAGCGGTCACTTTAGGATTTGTCTGGACCTTGTACTCGTGGGATGGCCTTTGGGCCATGCTCACGTCCATTTGCTCTGTTCGCTATGGAATACGTGTATTCAGCCTCATTTACTGCCAACTTCTGATGGGTAGGAAACTCCGAGACACTACAGTTGCCACCTTAGTTTAGCTTTGATGAATGGTTATTTTGCTAGGCAATACCAAATGCTTTCTATCACCGATTGTGAGATCTGTTGAGGGTGCATTTCCCTCTGCTGACAAATATTTTTAGGCTAAACGTAACCAATGCTTCAGATGAACGTGACAAGGGGATCAAAAGTTTTCCCTTAGTCGGACAGGATTAACTTAGGTAGCGTCCCAAGACTTCCTGGCCTTTATAAAAAGTCAGTAAGGGCAACTGGATACATGTATCCTGAAAAAGACAGGACAAATGGACCTGGGCATAGCCCGAAGGACAGCTCACGTGTGCAAGGGCCAGACAAATCCTGAAGTGACCGTCGAACGTCGGGTAGTCACACAAACAAAGTGTTGCACTTCCCCTCTCTTCTTATGAGCGACGTCCTCGACGCTCCTCTTCGGTACACCTCCCGCGCCAGTCATCACAACATATTCGACACTACATGAAAGCACCCACGAGCCACCCACGCCAGTCGGCCAATAGCATGAGACTGAGAAACCCTACCTGGTCGCCTCAACATCTTCAACTGGATCTGGAGTTACGTTCGGTCTGACAACCAGATTCAGATCCGCATACACCTGTTGACCATCAATTGCTTCCTGGAATAGATGGTGAAACTCTGGTCTAGAACATTTATATTACAGGTGGTATGAACCACTGTTCCGCATGTAAGGAGAACCGTAGTGTCATTTCCGATACCTAAACACGGATTTTGTATGGGAAATTCCGTCGCGAAACTTTTCCAGATAGTTCACGATGGTGTCGCTTCACTTGTTAATAGCTCGTCTGTGGAACACGGGAATGA